GCGAGAGTCTCGGGCTCGCACCTGGCGCCGACCTCCGCTCGGAGGCGCGCGGGTCGCCCCAGCAGTGCCCCCGGGGACGCGGGGACACAGCAGCGCACGGCGCAGTGGTCCTACACAACCCACACGTCACACCCACCCCGTGCATGTGCCACACGCTCGGCCACCATCCTGTGCGCTTCTTCACGTCCCAGGAAATAACCCTGAAGTTTGGGGCGAGGGCTCCCAGGCTTCGGAGAGGTCCCACAGGTGCGCCCCTCAGAGCACTTGCAGGGCCCTGCTCCGCTGTGCCACTGGGCGCTAGGTGGGAGCGCTGCCTGGGAGCATCGCGTCCTGGCCCTAGCTGGCTCCGCTCCTGACTGAGCTAAGTGCTTGCCCCCTTGGGCCTCAGTGTCCCCAAATAGACTGCCAGCTCTGGTACCTCCCCTCAAGCTTTAGGGCAGCCCCTGGGTGGGCAGCAAAGGACAGGGGTCACCGCCACCTTCTCAGGGAAGGGAGTCTGAACTCTGCTAACTCCCCGCCTACACAAAATCTCATTAGAGAACATAAGGACCAGGGACCCCGCATTTCCCAAAGAATGTTCCTCCAGATGCTGGACCCAGAAATGCTAGGGAGTGGGTTTGTGGTCAAAGTCAAGTAAGTTTGAGAAATGCTGTGTCCATACTCCTCCCTCCCCCCTTGGGAAACCTGAGGTCACTTAAGGTGGTAAAGTCTATACCCATATGTGCTGGTACGTGTGATACCATCTCTCTGGGCACTGGCAACTGCCAATGGTGCCTGCTGAGAGCAAAGGCCGGAGGGGGCAGAGCTGGTACAGGAAAGAGCTGTGAGCTCCCCAAACTCCCTCCATACCATCAGAATTAAATGTCATGTGCAACCATGTTATTTATCCTAAATAAATAAATGTTTTCAATGAATAAAGGCCCTGAAAAGCCTTGCAGCAAAGAAATTGGTTTGACTTTATGTATCATGCTGTCGTTTCCCACAGAAGTTTGGGGGTAATTATTTTTTGTTTGTTTTTGTTTTTGTTTGTTTTTGTTTGGGGATCACCTGTTTACATCCAGGGGAAATGCTTTGGAAGTACTGAAGTCTAGCACAAATTCCTCAGTTCACAGAGGAGGAAGCAGAGGCCCAACAGGGCAAGGAAATTGCCCAGATTCACACAGTGAGGCCGCAGCCAGAGGAGGCGGGAGCCTAGCCCCAGCCCCTCTTTCTCCTCTCCCAAGCTCTGCACTCAGGCACACA